ATCCTCATTTCTAAGTTTATCACGCAGAGAAAATCCGAGCATAGCCCTCTTTATAGCTCACTGAGCGACCTTGAGCTTCCTCATACGGCCAGCAGTGAAGGACCACGTCTCAGATCCGTAAGTCATCATTGGCAACACGCACTGGTTGTACAATTTCGTTTTAAGGTTTTAAGGAATGTCTGACGAGAAGATGTGTCGTAGTTTCCCAAACGGTACCCAGCCGAGTTCAATCCGTCGATTGACCTCTCGGTCGAAGTTGGACTTACCTAGTCGGACTATTTATCCCAGGTAAACATACTCGTCAACAACTTCGAGCTAGTGCTCCCAACAACTACCGGCATAGGTGTGACATGGACATTGAACCTGCTTTTATATCTTTAAGTAATTATAGTGAAAAATAACCTGTTACAATGTAATAACAGTGAAAAATCACCTGTTACAGTGTAGGTAATAGATAATCTCTATTTTACTTATTCTACAATAACTCAGCTTCTAGATTGACAAATCTTTTCAGCTATTAATTGTTTATATATACGCTTTCAAATGGTACTTTCATCTTGTTAACACTTGGACCCAAGAATGTATGGAGACGTCTTCTTCTCCTTTTATATTATTTTGTCAATTTCATCAGCTGCACTACTTAAAAGACACTACCCACATCAACAAAAATTGTTATTTTAAGTTTTTACCTTATTTTCTAACTCAGGCTTAACTTACAACTTCTTGAATCTAATATCTTTAACAGTACAATTTTTTTTAAATATAACAAGCCTATAGCAGTCTCCTATCACTGTAAGCCAGGATCTATAATGGTTTTGTCCTTGAATACCACCAGACAATGAAGCCCGGTATGTAAAAGAGAAGACTTGCTGTATTGCTAAACATCAACACAGCAAGTATCCTCAGCATGTTCATAAGCAACACAGAAAATCTCATCATCATGCCTAAAAAAATTTCCCACCCTTCCACATAAAGTAGGTTACTTAGCATAGTTCGTATATGCTACTCATTTTTGTTGGTATGGGTACAGTATCTTTGACTGTTTTACCTCCTTACATATTGTAAATGATTAAATCGGCATCCTGTATTTTATTTTTATCGATAACCCCAATCGATAAACGTCGGCAATCACTAACTTATAGTGACGCTACAGGATAACAGAGGGCGCTTAGTACAATAAAAATAAATTTTCTAGAACAATCTACTAGAAATAATAAAATTTAAAGATTATTCAGTAAATATACGTTATACTTGCGATAACAAACCAAAATCACGTTCATTTTTTGCTCCATATCGTGACTTACAATATCTTAATGCACAACCGGGCATATTTTCTATAAAAATATTTTTTAAAGAGATGAAAAAAATGCGTCTTGACTTCATGACGATGTCACTAAGACTAACGGAGATATATCCTATAGGACATAAGTTACACACGACAATTTTGCTGCTGATGTCAGGTCTATTACTACTACTACTTAAATGTCTTTGAGCTTCATGGACTGAAATGAAACTTCACAAACAGATATAGAGCGATGCCAGGAGTGACGTAGGCTACAGTTTATCCGCAAAGCTTGGTCATTTTATTGTGAAATCTTAAATCTCGATGATGAAATAAATGGCAACACTGAAGCGAAGCCGGGGCGTGCCACTAGCATTCAATAAAAGATGTGCGTTTGTTCGCTATTTTTATTTATTTATTATTTATTGAATCCCTAAAACAAAAGAATACAAAGTGTGGACTTAATGCTTAACTCTCCGTAACTGCTTTAGTCGACTGCGAGCGGGAGAGAAGACTAGTTCTTTGTTTTGTAAACTGCGATCGTTGTTTTCGACAATCTAACACTGATTTTGTTTAATGTGACTAAGAATACGCTGTCATTATTTATGTGCGCAGTTTGTCAACGTGATTTGCAGTTTATTTCATATAAGTGTGTAACGTATTTGCCTAAAAGCAGTAACTGTCGTAAATGAAAATATAACCGCGTGGCATATTTACCGTGCCGGCTACCCGCGATCCACAGTTTTTATTCTGAATTGCCGCTAGAGTAGTATACAAGTCTTTGACTTATATAGAATTTAACAAAAAGTTCAATCGTGAAGATACATTTCACTTTACAACAACACCTAACTAAACAAAGCCTCTGCAAGAAAACTGCCTTACAATACTTAAACTGTAAAGTTTTATTAATACAAGTCAAGGTAAAACTAATAAAAACAATGTCCACACGATAAAATAAATAACAAAATCATTTCCTTCATTAGCGTACATAGGGTAATCTATAAGATCAAAGTAAACCTAAGATTAAAAAAACCAAAAGTAGTGATGTAAATATCTTACACTTTAATTCATAGTTAGCTGCCACGGCAGGAGTTTAATGTTTCAGTTTCACTCCGAATTCAGTCTGGACATTTTACAGTGTAAATATAAAATGTATTAATAACTCGACTACAAAAGCCATCTTGTACGGAATAATAGACCGAGTAAAAAAACCTTTACGTGCCTTATGTGCTAATTGAAACTGCATTTATTCTGAAGCTGATACAAAAACAAAAAAATTGAACTTTAAAATATGAAACAAATGGGAGGTTAGTGGAAACAGACCAGACCATGTTTTTTTTTAATTTAAATGATGGATAATGTTTTCTTTTTTCGTTTCGACGTTTACTGTGTTCTTGTTAGAGAGCCTATTAAAGTCAACTGCTGATGCTGAACATAGGCCTCATCCATAAATTGCCTCATAGGGGGGGATATTTGCCATAGTTGCCACGCTTGGCAAGCGGGATGGCAACACAGTTTTTTTTATTTTCTTAGGAATACGGTGCTGCACATCTTCTGATTTGTTTCTTTCTGTCACCTCTAAGACACACACGGGATGATAAGGGGTAGTGGATATTCTTATACCTATATCTATATATTATATCTAGGCGACGGAGGAAATAAACCAGGAGATGGGCAGCAGCGTCTTCTTAATAACAAATAAAAATAAAAAACCGCGGTTGCCAACCCACCTGCATACCAACTATGGCAAATATCCCCCCTATGAGTCAATCCGTGGGGGAGGCCTATGTTCAGCAGCGGACTTTTATAGGCTGTAACGGTAACGATAAATGTCGAAACGAATAAATAAAAACAAACTAGTATGATTTACATAAAATTAAAAAAAAAACATGAAGGTCTGGTCTGTTTCCACTAACCTCTCGGTACATATTTCAAGGTTCGATTTCACTTGGTTGCTTCTTTGGTTTTTCAGAATAAATGAAGTTTCAATTAGCACATATGACACAGAAAGGTTTTTCTACTCGTTCTACAGTTACATAAGGAACTCATGACAAACGGGTTTTTATCTAGTATACTTTTATATTTATATAAAACACGTTTACATAATATTGCACATATTTTACCAGATCTCTCACGAAAAGGGTTTTGCTCAAGTGTGTGTTTTCATATGCCTTTGCAAATGACTTTTTCGAATACATTGATATTTACAGATATGACACGAAAAAGGTTTTTCTCCAGTATGTATTTTCATATGCTTTTGCAAATTACTTTTTTCTATACATTTATATTCACAGATATTACATGAAAAAGGTTTTTCTCCAGTATGTATTTTCATATGTGTTTGCAAATTACTTTTACGAATACATTGATATTTACAGATATGACACGAAAAAGGTTTTTCTCCAGTATGTATTTTCATATGTGTTTGCAAACTACTTTTGTGAATACATTGATATTTACAGATATGACACGAAAAAGGTTTTTCTCCAGTATGTATTTTCATATGCCTTTGCAAATCACTTTTCTTAATACATTTATATTCACAGATATTACATGAAAAAGGTTTTTCTCCAGTATGTATTTTCATATGCTTTTGCAAGGTACTTTTTGTAATACATTTATATTCACAGATATTACATGAAAAAGGTTTTTCTCCAGTATGTATTTTCATATGTGTTTGCAACACATCTTTTCTAATACATTTATATTCACAGATATTACATGAAAAAGGTTTTTCTCCAGTATCTATTTTCATATGTCTCTGCAAATGATTTTTTTTTACACTTTTATAATCACAATTATTACAACAGTACACTTGTCCAGCAACATGCGCTTTAAGATGTGCCAAAATGCAACGTTTTTGAGATGTTTTAAATTCGCAAATATCACAACTAAATATTTCCGTTAGTTGTGGTACTGGAGTTTGTTCAACTTGTGTCCGAACTGCAGTGGTGTTCTTTTGGTTCTTTTGCGTCTTATGACTGTATGAAATGTGTTTGGCGAGAATGTCTTTTGTTGAAAATTTTTTGCTACAACCATAACATTCAAAAATGTATTTTGTTGATGCCCCTGACGGTTTTTTCGTAAGTATATTTACACTCTTTTGTTTCAATATTTTCTTTCTCATAATATTTGCAGGATGCTTTCCTTTTTTATTAATTGGTTGATTATCTTTTTTGACTTTAGGCTTTGATTTAATAGTAGGGCTTTCTAAATCGAGGTTTCCTTTACGAACATCGTTTATGTTACAATCAGTAGAGTTTGATTTAATCTTGCTCTCAGACGCTTTTGAAAAATGATTTGTCGGTATGATGTATGGTTCTGAAATACACACGAACTGAACATTTAATTTATTATAAGTAAAAATTTTTATTGTAAGACACCTTAAACGCATTCTCTATCAGTCAACCAGGGAGAAATAGATAAATTATAAAATTACATAATTATACAATGTTGCTAGATATAAAGTATTTTACTTTTAATAATGTGTCTCATATTCATTTTTGGGAGGGAAAGAATGGTAGAGAAACTAAATTCGAATGATAATGATGACGTTCTTCTCACCATGTTACAATTACCTACATTAATCTAATAATAGATGCTTCGAATCGCACACGGGACAAGCATTATACAGAATGATTGGAAGATTGACTTGTTGATTGAAGATCATTTAGGCCATAATTATTTTAGACAAAGTCTGACTATACTTTTTGTTTTTGGTGATAAAACTAAAATTTTTACAGTTAATTGCTAATAATTGCCAATTTAATTAACGTCTGTTTTTTTATTTAAGTAATGAATAAGAAATCTAAGAAAACATAGTCTCAGCATGTGTCATCAGACATATTTTTGTACAGACACTAAGTTCACGAAAATTTTCTACGATTTAAAGAAACACAATTAACATTTTAAATAATAAACATTTTTGACACAACGTTAAAAAAAAACTGATGGTACTTTAATTTATTGTTAGAACCTTTTTGAAAACATGCTTGGTTATTACTCTTTCATTTGAGGTATAACTTACACGCATTTGTTACAAATTTTTCAATTGTCCCCTAAAACCAGATTGAGGTAGAAAATTTAAATTTTTAGGCAGACTAATAAAAATTCTAATTATTTATTTGTTGATGCTCAAAATAATTGATGCGATTACTAACACAAGCACGGGCCCGTCGTCTCACTTCTGTTGTAGTTACTTTCAACATCATGATTTCAAATGCTGAATTAATTCTTTGAAATTTGAAATTCCGGCCATATAGCTCGCAGAAATGACAATGAATGAGAAAGTTTTACGAGTGGCAGCCTCGTACCAGTAGACAAAGTGTAGGGCGGCCCTCCATTAGCTGGAATGATGACCTGGTAAGAAATGCAGGAAGGCGATGGATTCCTGTGCTTTGTGGCATTCCGTGGGTGAGACTTATGTTCAACAGTGGACTTGTGAAGGCTGTAATGATGAATATTTAATGATGCAATGCGCTCATCTTTTCATTTTAATTTTTATAGGATAGGGTGACAAACGAGCACACAGTCCACACAATGGTATATGGTCGCCGTGACCCATAGACATCTACATCTGTCCTCAATAAAGAATCAAAATGCACATGCATTGTCACCCATGAGGACTACGATGGAATGCCTCTTTTCCAGTAAAAAGGGTATCCAGTTCTCTACAATCACCATACGAAAGACAGCAGTGTTAAGCTGCTATTTCACCCTGGTATTCTGTGAGAGCGTGATCCTTCCCCGGTCGAGCCGACCCATTCATGCTATAACTATACTACTAATATAGCTGCAGCATGGCTCTACCACAACTAAAATGGAATGACCCACAGCCTGTGATTATTCTGACTCTATACCCATCAGAATGGAACACAGCAGTGCACGCACTGCTATTTGACGGCAGAAATAGGTAAGAGGAGGAGGGAGGAGTCCATCTGGGCAGGCACAAATAGATCAACTCCTAGGCAAACATGGAGTCACACCACCTAGTACTGACACTAAGAAGATGGCAAAGATAATTGGTTGCTTACCAGTAAGTATCTTTGAGCCTTTGACATGCACTTTGAATTTAGACAAAGGCAAATCAGTAAATCAATACATTACACATGAAGCCCTCTTTATTTTGTGTCTACGGGCTACAATAACCACTTGCCATAAGGTAAATTGTACCTTATTTGAATAATATCAAGAAAAGGGATATATCTTACCTGTTTCATGATTCTCATTTTCTTCAAATTTGGAATTCTCATATTCGAAAATCTCTTCCTCAACTTTAACGGCATCAAGGCAAAAAATTTCGTCCTTACAATCATTGTCTATATCACAATCTACAGGCCAGATATCTATATGATAAATTGGTGTGAATTTAATCTCACCTCTAACCTTATGCGGTTTTGATATTGACTGAAAGGAAATAATTTTTTCAAATAAGAGAAAAAGCCACTATAGTGGTGGAGTAGGAGAACCCATACTACCCCCTGCCATCCCGCAGATGTTTTAAAAAGGGGCAGAGGGAAACTGAAACAGGAGATCGGGGGGCAGCATCTTCCTGACAACAACTTCAAATAATAATAAACACCGGACAAAAGTGAGGGTTCAGTGTAAACTTAAATAAGAATGTACATAGTTCATCTATCCCGAGAATCGAGTCTCAACAACTTTTGGATTCAGATTCACGAAAGCTGTAAATTGACAAAGATTTATCTTTGTTTATTGAGATTTGTTTATATACAATAGGGTAATATATAACAGTATAAACAGTTTGATAATTGTTTTTGTAAAAATAAGTACTATTGCTCTAACAAAAGTAAGTTGGATTGAAGGACAAACTTAACTTTGCACTAGAAACATTCTCCCATATAGCAATGGGAAGCAGCATAGAAAAGTGGATTGTGCAGTGACAGTGTAAGCATATCCACTATCACAGGGTCGGCAACCTTTTATATATATATGGTATTATTTGATAATCACTTATTTAAGTAAAAAATTAAAACAACCATTTATTTACATTGTAAGTCTTACAACACTAACTTATACTTCAAGTACAAACAATTGAGCAAACAAATTCAATGGGAGTTTTGGCTCGAATATGTCGATTCGAAGATAGTCAGCACTCCAAATGCCAACTTCTTCACCTCACTATAGCAATCTGGAAGACTATTCCATGCGTCGAATATAACTCAACTCGCAGCATTTCTTTTAAAGCTGTTCATTTTTGTTGCGTTACATACATACATTTCTGGACCTCCAACTTTTCCAACTTCCTTATCAACTCTGTAAATTTTCAACTCCACAAAGCTTTACTTTTTAAATCGATCAATTGCATTTCTAGAGATCGAGTATCAACCCCAAATGGCTCAGTATGGATCGATTTATAATTTTTTTTATAAAATAAATAATATTTCCGTATGAAACTAAAGAACCGCAGCTTCATATCCAAAGAGCCGCAGGTTGCCGACCCCTGTACTATTCTATATACCTATCCACGGGATGGGTGTCGTAAGAGGCAGCAGAAGGAAACAGAAACAGAGGTAGGGCGGCCGCATCTTCCTGATGATAACTTAGACTAATATAAACTACGGTTGCCAACTTGCCAAGTGTGGCAAATTTGGCTAAATCCCTCTTATGAAGCAATCTTTGAGTGAGACCTATGTTCAGCAGTGGACTTTTATAGGTTTTAATGGATGGAATGGATAATACCATGGATCCTCCTGAAAGCAACTGCTCCAGAACCACATTTGACTCAATAGCCTGTTGTTGTAATCTTCTGCAACGAATGAGTCTTGCATGACAGGTGAAACAGACAATTATTGGCCCCTCAATCTCATCCAACTGAAAATATGAAAATCTTCATAAATATGAAATAGTATTCAAATACAGTAGAACGCCGATTATCCGAACGCCGATTAACCGAATCGCCAATTACCCGAATCGGTCCTAAGCTTAATATAAAAAATTATAACCAAATACAGTAAGTAACATTACTAAGATTACTTATACAATATGAGGTTAACTGATATTAAAAATAACAGTGAAAAAATTTTAAGTTTTGTGACCGCGTTGGAAAGTGGTGATGGATGTTCGTCGCGAAAAGTAATGAAAAAGGCAAAAGATGAACAGCTTGAGAATGCTGTTTTTACGTGGTTTCTGCAGCAACGATCTATTGGACAACCGATTTCAGGATCGATTTTATGTGAAAAGGCGCGAATGTTCAGTGAAAAAATGGTTGTAGCTGGTTTTACTCTTTATAAAACTTTATAAAGTGTAAAACCATTTATAAACTTAATAAAGACAAAAACATTAAAACTTATTCTATGTGTGACAGTTTGTTTTTCTATATTACATACCAGTCTATGTCCGATTATCCGAATTTTCGATTATCCGAATCGACCCCGGTCCCAATTATTTCGCATAATCGGCGTTCTACTGTATATAAGTTTGTAATAAAGATTATTGGCTACCACATTTTAATTTGTCAACATCATTTTTTATAATATTGAAGTGACAAATAAACTTACCATCTAGTAAGTGACTAATGGGCATCATGGGCACCTGCAATGAACTTCAAGCAATGGCTATAGATGCAATGTTACCTCTGAAGACTAAGATGTAATGCATGACAGTCTGGCTCTCGATGTCCTTCAGACTGGGACACATACTGCTGCTTGGTGCCAGAAAATGGTAAAAGGATGATATCTAGGCAGAAAGAAACTCCTACAGTTCCAAGCCACCTACATCCATCAACTACATTACGTACATTAACTTCAAACTGCTATCATCACTAAGAACATTACAAATACTTCTCTTATCACTCTAAGTAAACTGATAATGCTTGTGGTAGGAGGATATTGAAACAAAACACAGGGTGGTGGGTGGTACTAAACATTCTGTGAAAGTGTAGTACCACCCCGGTCGAGCCGACCCATCCATGATACAACCATAATATAGCTGCAGTCCGGCTCTACCACATATAAAATAATGATAATAAGTCTTTCTACTCTATTCTCTCATTTTAATAGTCCGATAGAACTGTTTTAATTTGCTGAACAACCAAACCAGGGTAAATGTTAATTTGTTGATAAAAAATCACAATAATAGTCATTCAAGTAATATGTACTAGAACAGACACCAGGAACAAAATCTATGTAGCAGTGCGGGTTGCATGGAAGGAATGGAAGGAGAATGTATTACAATTAAGACCCAGATATTTGACACTTCACTAATCTACACGCTCAGCTTTGGAAAAATCTAGTAGACTGTAGACAAGCTAGGGAGGCCCTGCCTGAAATAAACAGTTGTTTAACCAAAGTTCTAATGAGACTGAACAAGCCGCAGATCAGGATATAGCAAGTGCTATCACAGGACATGGCAACTTTAACAAGCATTTATTTACTATAGGTGTTACAGATAATCCCCTGTGCAGGGCATGTCTGGTGGAAGAAGAAATGGCGGCCCATGTGATATTGAAATGTCCAGAGGTCGCTACGTACAGGGCTAAACATCTCGGCACGCCGAGATCACTCCCCGAAGTTGCATGCAACATCAAAGGACTGTTGAGCTTCTTCGGGGAGATCTCATGGCTCGAATAAGCATATTATTCCTGCCCACACGCTAAATACGAGCATAGACGTGGAGTTGCGGAAAGCAGCCCGTCGTAAACTAAACTAAACTAAGACCCAGATACACTAGGGGCCATTTTGTCCCGCAAGATGATGTGAAACACTCATCGGTACGACTTTCCATTGACGTCAGTCGAGTTTGGTGTTGATACGTATTTTTACAGAAAGATTACATTTTTATAAGCACACACACAAAGTTTCAATATGCGGAAACACGTACTTATTGAGAAAAAAACATTGTAAATCAAATAATTTTGCAATATTTAGTCAATTCCTACCGTGAAACTGACGCCATTTTTATTATTATTGTCAGTAGGGATGTCGATTCTTTCCGAAAAAGATCGATTTTTTAAATAGATTCGAATTGTAAGCTGATGTATCGATTCACAAAAAATCGATTTCTAAAATATCGATATTTTTTTCATGTTTGCATTTATAATGTAAATATAAATCCATTTTATGAGAAAAAAATCCCCTTCATAATAAAAAAATAAGGGGACTGATTCAGAAGGATTTCTGTATCTATTTTGAGACTGCTAAGTCTCCGGCGCAGCGGGAAGAGCAGCCTCTACGCCTTAGCGTAACAAATTGCAGGCATCCCTCCTCGTCCGATGCCTACGATTTGTTACAGCAGGCGGAGGCTGCTCTCCCTACGCGCCTCCGGCTCTATAAAACCACTCTAGGGGTAGGACAGACTCGTACCAGGTGGAGTTGGGGTCAATCAATTCAGTTCTTTGACATAAGTTGAACCTAACCTATTTTATTTGTTATCTGCCCTAATAGGTACTGTTAAATAAAACAAATTTCAATAACAGATCAATCTTTCTTGTTTTTCATAAAATGGGTTTATTTACATTATAAATAGAAACATTAAAAAAATTTAGGTATTTTAGAAATCGATTTTTTGTGAACCGATACATCAGCTTACAATTTGAATCAATTTAAAAATCGACCTTTTTCGGAAAGAATCAACATCCCCATTGACGTCGACAATGACATTACAAAATGGTGCCAGTTTTATGGTAGGATTAGATATAAACATTGCAAGAATAATTGATTTTCAATAATTCTTTTCTCAAAAATTATGCATTTCCGCATGTTGAAACTTTGTGTGTGTGCTTATAATAGTCTAACTTTTCTGTAAAAATGCGTATCAACACCCAACTCGACATACGTCAATGAAAAGCTAAGCCGCTTCTTCCCTCTCCGAAAGAGAGTGCACATGTCTGGCGTCAGACTCACGTCATTTGTTACCGAGTGTAGTTGTGTGTACAACTTTACTTGCAACATGTCAGTTGTGTGGGGAAATTAAACCGTGCTTTTACTTCTTGAACTTTACCAGAGTCGTGTTTTGTTATGGGATACTTCTAACCATTAACTTCTGGTGCTATTCTGCCGATCAGTTGTTTCAACACTAGTGTGGCCTGCAATAAGTTCCGGGACATGTCTCGGGACATTCCACGTATTAGTTGAGACATGTTGCGCAACATGCCGCTCCTTGCGTACCCAAGTATATCCTACTAGGCTTTACTTAAATGATAATACTGATTTTAGTGCGACCCAGGATACCAGGCTAATTGTTATTTTTCAGGTTCTGGTTGTATATGTCACTATATTTAACGCTACATCTTAGAACATATATCGGGCATCATAATGTATTTCTCCAGTGATAACAACAAATTACCGCAACTTCATTTAGCAATAAATAAATATTAAAAAACTTACAAAACTGTTCGTCAATGTCTTATACAAATCTTGGAGGCCAGTCTCCTTTAGTGCAAACATTCGTATATTAACGCTTAAACAAATTCTACAAACTTCTCCTTCACTAAAGGCCATTGTTGTTTTCTATAGTAGCTTTATTAAAATTGATTATTGAATTCTCTTTTTCATAAACAAACCGGACTTTTCTCTTGTTATTTTTTTTTGGAGTTTATGGCCTGGTATCTAGACCATTAGGCCATTCCCTTGTTTTTTTTTTGAGTTTATGGCCTGGTATCTAGACCTTTAGGCCAAGTCTTAAGTATTTTTATTCGGTTTATTGTAATTTTCCCACTCCTTCATAGTATACTGCTTCACAATATGTTGATGCGTCACATTGTGCAGTTCTTGGGAGATTTTGGCGGCAACTTGATCCAGCAGACAGCTGATAGTTGGCGATGGTATCTAAAGGTGCCTATGCAAACAAACAGCTTATCTTGAGAATCCATCACCATCAGAGCACTTGTTTCACTGTTTCCACTAATAGTTCACATGCGTAGACACTTAATACACAAAATCGCAACACTTTTACATATCAAAGTCCACTTCAAACCATTATTTAAACAATAATACAGGAGCAGCAAACCGCCGCCGGTCAATTTCCCGCCAAAAAAAACCATTCCCTTGTTATTATTACAATTTTTCACGGAATACACACAATTTTTTATAATCACAGAACACCTATATATAATGTACTCTGTGCAGAACATTATTACTCCTAAAGTTTATAATGCGCCCAACGCGTAGTGTTTCTATATAGTTTGTGTTTTGTTTGTGGCCCAGCGTAGGCTCAGGCAAAAAATACCGATATATTAGTGATGTGTCAACTCGAGTTGCGCTTAACTCGAGTTAACTCGATTTGTATCTCCCCAACTCGAGTTTGGGCTGCTGTACATGAAGGAATCAAGTGAGCCAACATAAAAGTAAGAGCGCGATTCGTTCGTTGTGTGCGCGCTTTGTGTTTCAAATAGTATTTAGTTACAGTCAAAACAATTTGTTATTTAGAGATTTATAATAGCTAAGTTACATATGTAATTTAATTTCATTTATAATTTTGATTAATTATGATCATTATAGCTACGTAAATCACAGACCTATTATTGTAATACCTGAAAAGGGTGGTTAAGTTGTAAGATACATCATACTTTAAATTAACGTCAAACACTTAACTTAGAATAAATATTTTGAATTTGAAAAAGTTTGAACTTATTGAAGAATATTTTAACTGTGATAATTAATCTATTAATAGGTTATGTACTTACATCTTAAAGCTAGACTAATATTTTTTCGTGAAGGCTGCTATATAAGTTGTTTTGTTGTTAAATACAGGTACTTTAACTAATATTAAAACCAAAAATACTTAAGTATGTGATACATACTAAATATACATTTTCATTTCATACAATAAGTTTGGTAATTATGGTTATCCCAATACACCAAAGAGCTACAAAGAAAAACACATTTATAAAAAAAAATAATTTCTAACAAATCCTTTACTCTGTTTCATACTGTTAACTCGAGTTGCGTAACTCGAGTTTAAACTCGAGTTGCGTGAATTACAACTCGAGTTAACTCGAGTTGTAATTTTTCCAAATTGGCACGTCTATACGATATATCGTCGATATTTTAAATCGCGATATATCGATATTTATTTTCGAGTATCGAATTCGATTCAATTTCGATATAATTTAAAATGTTGTATTAATGACAAAACATGTAACAACAAAGGGAGGTACATAAGTATTCATGTATGGTTGGTTGCCGTTTCCTTTTTCGTCGTCCAACCGTCAATAATATAAAATTATGGACCTTATCTTTATATCATGCATATCGATATTTATCACGCGATATATATCAACACCGTTTACAAATATCGATGCGATTTTCTTTGCCTATCCATTAGCCCAGCGCCCACATTTTTTTAATAACTGGCTTTACGGCTCTGGGTTCTAGCCCTTCTGATCCTGAAGTTACAATATATAATTATCCTTCATAGTACACTGCTTCGCAACATGTTGATGCGTCACATTATGCAGCCCTTGGGAGATTTTAACGGCAACTTGAGCCAGCAGACAGCTGACAGTTGGCGATGGCATCTCAAGGCGCCTAAGCAGGCAGACACCTTATTTTAAGAATCACATCACCATCAGAGCAGTTGTTTCACCGTTTACTACCGTTTACTACCGTCTAATAATAGTTCACATGCGCAGACACTTAATACACAAAATCGCACCACTTTTACATATCAAAATCCACTTCAAACCATTATTTAAACAATTGTGGCGGCGCTGTCGTCGCGTCACAAGCGAAACACATCGAAGCCTAAATCGCACTAACAAAGTTCCGAAGTTAAAGCAGCATATATAGAATAGCTCCGAACTACCAATCGGAGCGTTGGCCGCTCCCCGGGCAGAACACCTTGCCCGGCGGGAGATTACCAACTTTACAGGAGACGAAAAAAAACTGTCCATTTTAAAAAATCGGCGGAAATTTTCTGTTGTTACTTAATAAATGCCCTAGTTAGCGGTTAAGGAATAATTATTTATAATTATTTTGACTATATACTTTATTTTAACTTTTATTTTATGACTTGAGCTGTGTTAACTGATATTTTATTAGATTTAAGTGGAGTTGTTTGCGGAAAAGTTAGGGAATAAGGTATTAATAGATGATTTACAACGAAACTTTTCACTTTCATTCCCTTTTCTTTTAATGTCCTGTTCATTAATGTAACCATCATTTTCAACTCGGCTGCCGACGACGCAAGTATGACTTGATCATCGGCGTACAAAAGGCATTTGACGGTTAACTCACCCATTCTTAACCCGCATTCTTCTACTTTAAAATTTTCCAAACAACTGTCCATAAATAGGTTGAACAACCACGGGGAAGCCACACAGCCCTGTCTGACACCTTTATGAATGTCAAACCAGTCCGAGTAGGCCCCGTTGATCCTGACACAAGCACTAGAGTCCCTATATAGAGACTTCAATGCCTGTATCAGACCAGCGCTCAACCCAAATGAGTTCAGTGTTTGCCATAACACATCCCTGTCCACTCTGTCATAAGCCTTCTCCAAGTCCATGAATTTATATTCATACATTCATATTATAAATACGCTGGTATGTTATGTACCAATATTCTTCAAAGAGATTTATGCTCAACAACTTGAGACATTACTGACTCGGTGAAAGAAAGCATAGTGAAGAATACTGAAAATTATAATCTGAAACCACGAACATGAACTAAGCAAGTGTTGTGATTAATGCACGTTACTTCCCTGTATGTGAAGACTACTTTGCGATACAGTAGGCTAATACAGGCTAGTATTATTATAAGAAATGAAATTATTCCAGTACTTTCAACGATATTTAGAAACATGTTTAAATTGTTGTAAATCGAACTCATAACTAATACACTTAACAACTTGTATCATTTTAATTTATTTATTAAATTCTCACTGTGCACCATTGCGATATTATGTACTAATGTACTAGAGAGGCCTTGCGGTACATCATACCCGGTACGGTGTACGGTTGGATACTCACTGATGAGTCAACACCCGTCACGAAGAGTCGTGTTTTTATCTTTCGTTAATCGTTTCACTACTTCATTTCATTACTAACCACAGATTTTTTGGTGATTTTATACTTATCCTGCTTTTATCATCATCATCATTACAGCCTTTCATAAGTCCACTGCTGAACATAGGCCTCCCCCAAGGAATGCCACAAAGCACGGTCCTGAGCCACCTGCATCCATCGACTTCCGACATGTCTTACCAGGTCGTCACTCCATCTCGTGGGGGTCACCCTACACTTCGCCTACCGGTACGAGGCTGACAGTCGAGGACCTTTCTTCCCCATCGGTTGTCGGTTCTTCGAGCTATATGGCCGGCCCACTGCCACTTCAGCTTACTAATCCGTTGGGCTATGTCGGTCACTCTGGTTCTACTGCGGATATCCTCATTTCTAAGTTTATCACGCAGAGAAAATCCGAGCATAGCCCTCTTTATAGCTCACTGAGCGACCTTGAGCTTCCTCATACGGCCAGCAGTGAAGGACCACGTCTCAGATCCGTAAGTCATCATTGGCAACACGCACTGGTTGTACAATTTCGTTTTAAGGTTTTAAGGAATGTCTGACGAGAAGATGTGTCGTAGTTTCCCAAACGGTACCCAGCCGAGTTCAATCCGTCGATTGACCTCTCGGTCGAAGTTGGACTTACCTAGTCGGACTATTTATCCCAGGTAAACATACTCGTCAACAACTTCGAGCTAGTGCTCCCAACAACTACCGGCATAGGTGTGACATGGACATTGAACCTGCTTTTATATCTTTAAGTAATTATAGTGAAAAATAACCTGTTACAATGTAATAACAGTGAAAAATCACCTGTTACAGTGTAGGTAATAGATAATCTCTATTTTACTTATTCTACAATAACTCAGCTTCTAGATTGACAAATCTTTTCAGCTATTAATTGTTTATATATACGCTTTCAAATGGTACTTTCATCTTGTTAACACTTGGACCCAAGAATGTATGGAGACGTCTTCTTCTCCTTTTATATTATTTTGTCAATTTCATCAGCTGCACTACTTAAAAGACACTACCCACATCAACAAAAATTGTTATTTTAAGTTTTTACCTTATTTTCTAACTCAGGCTTAACTTACAACTTCTTGAATCTAATATCTTTAACAGTACAATTTTTTTTAAATATAACAAGCCTATAGCAGTCTCCTATCACTGTAAGCCAGGATCTATAATGGTTTTGTCCTTGAATACCACCAGACAATGAAGCCCGGTATGTAAAAGAGAAGACTTGCTGTATTGCTAAACATCAACACAGCAAGTATCCTCAGCATGTTCATAAGCAACACAGAAAATCTCATCATCATGCCTAAAAAAATTTCCCACCCTTCCACATAAAGTAGGTTACTTAGCATAGTTCGTATATGCTACTCATTTTTGTTGGTATGGGTACAGTATCTTTGACTGTTTTACCTCCTTACATATTGTAAATGATTAAATCGGCATCCTGTATTTTATTTTTATCGATAACCCCAATCGATAAACGTCGGCAATCACTAACTTATAGTGACGCTACAGGATAACAGAGGGCGCTTAGTACAATAAAAATAAATTTTCTAGAACAATCTACTAGAAATAATAAAATTTAAAGATTATTCAGTAAATATACGTTATACTTGCGATAACAAACCAAAATCACGTTCATTTTTTGCTCCATATCGTGACTTACAATATCTTAATGCACAACCGGGCATATTTTCTATAAAAATATTTTTTAAAGAGATGAAAAAAATGCGTCTTGACTTCATGACGATGTCACTAAGACTAACGGAGATATATCCTATAGGACATAAGTTACACACGACAATTTTGCTGCTGATGTCAGGTCTATTACTACTACTACTTAAATGTCTTTGAGCTTCATGGACTGAAATGAAACTTCACAAACAGATATAGAGCGATGCCAGGAGTGACGTAGGCTACAGTTTATCCGCAAAGCTTGGTCATTTTATTGTGAAATCTTAAATCTCGATGATGAAATAAATGGCAACACCGAAGCGAAGCCGGGGCGTGCCACTAGCATTCAATAAAAGATGTGCATTTGTTCGCTATTTTTATTTATTTATTATTTATTGAATCCCTAAAACAAAAGAATACAAAGTGTGGACTTAATGCTTAACTCTCCGTAACTGCTTTAGTCGACTGCGAGCGGGAGAGAAGACTAGTTCTTTGTTTTGTAAACTGCGATCGTTGTTTTCGACAATCTAACACTGATTTGGTTTAATGTGACTAAGAATACGCTGTCATTATTTATGTGCGCAGTTTGTCAACGTGATTTGAAGTTTATTTCATATAAGTGTGTAACGTATTTGCCTAAAAGAAGTAACTGTCGTAAATGAAAATATAACCGCGTGGCATATTTACCGTGCCGGCTACCCGCGATCCACAGTTTTTATTCTGAATTGCCGCTAGAGTAGTATACAAGTCTTTGACTTATATAGAATTTAACAAAAAGTTCAAACAATCGTGAAGATACATTTCACTTTACAACAACACCTAACTAAACATAGCCTCTGCAAGAAAACTGCCTTACAGTACTTAAACTGTAAAGTTTTTAGTACAAGTCAAGGTAAAACTAATAAAAACAATGTCCACACGTTAAAATAAATAACAAAATAATTTCCTTCATTAGCGTAAGATAATCTATAAGATCAAAGTAAACCTAAGATTTAAAAAAAACCAAAAGTAGTGATGTAAATATCTTTCACTTTAATTTATAGTTAGCTGCCACGGCAGGAGTTTAATGTTTCAGTTTCACTCCGAATTCAGTCTGGACATTTTACAGTGTAAATATGAAATGTATTAATAACTCGACTACAAAAGCCATCTTGTACGGAATAATAGATCGAGTAAAAAAACCTTTCCGTGCCCTGTGTGCTAATTGAAACTGCATTTATTATGAAGAAGCTAATTCAAAAACAAAAAAAATTGAACTTTAAAATATGAAACAAATGGGAGGTTAGTGGAAACAGACGAGACCATGTTTTTTTTTAAATTTAAATGATGGATAATGTTTTCTTTTTTTGTTTCGTCGTTTATTGTTCTTGTTAGAGAGCCTATTAAAGTCGAGTGCTGAACATAGGCCTCATCCATAGATTGCCTCATAGGGGGATATTTGCCATAGTTGCCACGCTTGGCAAGCGGGTTGGCAACACAGTTTTTTTATTTTATTAGGAAGACCCTGCTGCCCAGCTCCTGATTTGTTTCTCTCTGTCGCCTCTACGACACACTCGGGATGATATGGGGTGGTGGATATTCTTATATCTATCCCCTATGAGTCAATCCGTGGGGGAGGCCTATGTTGAACAGTGGACTTTAATAGGCTGTAACGGTAACGATAAACATCGAAACGAAAAAAGTAAAACATAAACTAGTATCATTTAAATTAAAAAAAAAAACATGAAGGTGTTGAATGAATATGAACCACTCGGAACATATTTCAAGGTTCGATTTCATTTGGTTGTTTCTTTGGTTTTTGAATTAACTTCTTCAGAGTAAATACAGTTTCAAGTAGCACATAAGACACGGAAAGGTTTTTCTACTCGTTCTATAGTTACATAAGAAATTCATGACAAATGGATTTTTATCTCATATACTTTTATATGTTTACAAAACGTTTACATAATATTGTACATATTTTACCAGATCTCTCACGAAAAAGGTTCTGCTCAAGTGTGTGTTTTCATATGCCTTTGCAAATTACTTTTTTGAATACATTTATATTCACAGATATTACATGAAAAAGGTTTTTCTCCAGTATGTATTCTCATATGCTTTTGCAAATCACTTTTTGTAATACATTTATATTTACAGATATGACACGAAAAAGGTTTGTCTCCAGTATGTATTTTCATATGCTTTTGCAAATAACTTTTTGTAATACATTTATATTTACAGATATGACACGAAAAAGGTTTTTCTCCAGTATGTATTTTCATATGTGAATGCAAATTACTTTTTCGAATACATTGATATTTACAGATATGACATGAAAAAGGTTTTTCTCCAGTATGTATTCTCATATGCTTTTGCAAATCACTTTTTGTAATACATTTATATTTACAGATATGACACGAAAAAGGTTTGTCTCCAGTATGTATTCTCATATGCTTTTGCAAATCACTTTTTGTAATACATTTATATTTACAGATATGACACGAAAAAGGTTTGTCTCCAGTATGTATTTTCATATGCTTTTGCAAATAACTTTTTGTAATACATTTATATTTACAGATATGACACGAAAAAGGTTTTTCTCCAGTATGTATTTTCATATGTGAATGCAAATTACTTTTTCGAATACATTGATATTTACAGATATGACATGAAAAAGGTTTTTCTCCAGTATGTATTTTCATATGTCTCTGCAAACGATCTTTTTTAATACATTTATAATCACAATTATTACAACAGTACACTTGTTCAGTGACGTGCACGTTAAGATGTGCCAAAATGCGACGTTTTTGAGATGTTTTAAATTCACAAATATCACAATTAAATGTTTCCATTAGTTGTGGTACTGGAGTTTGTTCAACTTCTGAGTTCTTTTGCGTCTTATGATTGTATGAAATGTGTTTGGCGAGAATGTTTTTTGTTGATGCCCCTGACGTTTTTTTCGTAAGTATATTTACACTCTTTTGTTTCAGAATTTTCTTTTTCATAATCTTTGCAGGATGCTTTCCTTTTTTATTAATTGGGGGATTATCTTTTTTGACTTCAGGCTTTGATTTAATAGTAGGGCTTTCTAAATCGAGGTTTCCTTTACGAACATCGTTTATGTTACAATCAGTAGAATTTGATTTAATCTTCCTCTCAGACAGTTTTGAAAAATTATTTGTCGGTGTGATGTAGGGTTCTGAAATACATACGAATTAAACATTTTATTTATTGTAAGACACCACAAACTGTGAACACTGGGTGGAGTTTATGCCTTATGGCATTCTCTATTGGTTAACCCAGGGAGAAATAGAGAAATTACAATATTTTACATGATTATACTCTTGTAATGTTTCTATATACATAAAAAGTATTTTAGCCAATTACTTTGAGTAATGTATGTCATATGCATTTTTGGAGGGAATGAATGGTAGAGAGACTATATTCGAATGATAATGATGACGTTCTTCTGACCATGTTACAATTACAATTAAATAAATAATCGCTGCTTCGAATCACACACGGAACAAGCATTATACAGGATAATTGTAAGATTGACTTGTTGATTGAAAAGTATCATTTAGGCCATAGTTATGTTAGACAAAGTCTGACTATACTTTATTGTTTTAGGTGATAAAACCAAAAATTTAAAATTAATTGCTAATAATTGCCACTTTTATAAATGTCTGTTTTTTTTTAATTTAAATAATGTGTAAGCAATCTAAGGAAACATGGTCACAGCATCTGCGCATCGCATCGCATCTGTGAGGAGCGCTTTGACTCCTTATTAAAAAATCAGAGTGAGTATCAGCGCTCCATATCAGGTTCATAGGGGACAATATGTGTAAATAACAAAGTAAACAGTAAGGCCTCATTATTTTCATCTACACTCTACGACAGTGCCATGACAAAGGATATAAACTTAAAAAACAATGTAGATATTTAAAAAATAAAGTTATTATGTATTGTGATGACATAGGCAAAAATTTGGTCATGATGTTAAATCACAGTTTAAAAGGACATCTGATCAGTAATTATTGCATGCCTGGAGCATCCTTTAGTCATATAATGAATAAAGTTTTAGCTAGTAAATTATGTCCTAATAGCACATTAATAATTCTTGTTGGGAGAAGAGGCAATGTAAACAAAAATCAATTATTAAAATATATTGATAATCTAAATACTTTAAATGTACATAAAATTATCTTGTTTACATTGCCTTACATACAGGGTTGGCCGCAGGAAAATAAAATAAGATATGATTTAAATTTATTAATCAATAACATTTCATGTAATAATAATTTAAACTTGACATTTAATTGTTACAATTATAATAATATAATTAATTTAATATATATAAGTAATTTAATTAAGACATTTTTGACTAGAGATAGGTATTACCTATCAAAATATAATTTAAGACAGATAGCAAATGTGCTATCTAATTGTTTATATATTAACTCAGCCAAGGACTTGGCTGCACAGACATCTGCTTCTTTTGAGCAGTATAATGACTTAATTACACCTGGTGCATCAAAATATACAAGGCATGATAGGCAAAGAGCTAGCAATTGAGTTGTTCTTATATAGCAACAATATTCATATTTTATGTATTACTGAACATAGGTTAAAAGCTTATAACTTAATGTTTAACTTCAGTAATCACCAGGTGGTCAGTTCTTTCAATAGAGAAACGGTTTTAAGAGGTGGCTCCTTAATTATTATATAATTATTAAAAGATATTGTGAGCCTCTCTGTTGAGCGAACTGTAGAAATGGTATGTGTTGAGTTTGAGCACTTCATTGTTGTGAGCGTCTACAGACCCCCATGTTCTACATACGATACTTTTGAAAACATTATGGAGGAAGTTTTTGCTAAGCTTAATAAACAGAATAAATCTGTTGTAATATGTGGAGACTTTAATATCAATCTCCTGGAAGCTTCCTCCATCAATATTAAATTTAGATCATTATTTAAATCATATGGTCTTTTTAATTTATTTATAGAGCCAACGCGTATTTCTCAATCTAGTGCAACATGTATAGATAACATTTTTACAAATGTGAAGCCGTTGCATAAATGTATAATTCAAAAATTAAGTTCTGATCACTGTGGACAAGTAGTTTCGTTACCTTATGTTCACAAAAAGCAAGTAGATGAGAAAGTTGTGTCTGTTCCAGTAAATGCACGTCGCTTGGAGAAATTTAAAAGTAACATAGTGAAAAAACTTCCATCACTTTCATACCAAAATGATCCTAATTTATTGTATGGAACATTATTTAAGCTTATTTGCAAAGAATTTAATAATACTTTTACTTCTAAAACATTCTCCTTGAACAGTCGGAAGTCATTCAATGAATGGGCGACACTAGGAGTCCATAAGAGCAGGCATAGGTTATATGATCTTTACCAACAGTACTTTTGAACAGTGGTAGAGCCACGCGGCAGCTTTTGCTGTCGCACGGATGGGCCGCCTCGAACCGGGGTGGTACCACGACCTCACAGAAAACCAGCGTGAAGTAGAGGTTTACCTCTGCGTTTCGCTTGGTGAGCGCAGGTGGCCGGAGGCCCTTTTTACTGGAAATGAGGCATTCCATCTTAGTCCTCACGGGTAACAACGCATCTACATTTTGATTTGTAACAGAGGATAGATGTAGATGTTTATGAGCCGCAGCAACCACTTACCATCAGGTGGATTGTGTGCTCGTTTGTCACCCTTATCCTATAAAAAAAAACATGAAAGGTCATATAATCATAGCGTCGAATTTAGGGAATATGTAAAAAAAATATTCAAAAATATTTAAAAGAGTGTGCTCCACAGCCAAGTCTTTGCATTTGAGCAACAAAATTAAGACGGCTTCTAATAAAATTAAAATGACATGGAGTATTGTTAATAGCGAAACTGGTAAGATCAACTCTCGCAATTCAAATTACCAGTTAAGTGTTAACAACAAATTAACTGTATCAGATCAGGATGTAGCAATGGTTTTTGAGAAATATTTTACTGATATTCCGATATTAACCACTAAGTCACTGAATTCTTCTCCTGCGGTCGCCGAATCATTACTTAAACAAAATGTAAATGCGTGTACAAAGAATTTTGCATTTCATAAAGTATCATCAAAAGATATTGTAAAATATTTTAAAACTATTGATGTTAAGAAAACTGCGGATCTGTGGGGGATTTCCGTTAAAGTTATTGCGTCTATAATAGATACAATCGCGCCTCATTTAGCTATTATTTTTAATACTAGTATCGAATCTGGTGTGTTTCCTGATTTAATGACGCATAGTAAAGTAATAACCTTTATTTAAATCTGGTAGTACATTAGACCCCGCCAATTTTAGACCTATTTCTGTACTACCAACACTTAGTAAGATTTTTGAAAAAATTATTCATGATCAAATGTTAAATTTCTTTAATATAAATATATATATATATATATACTAGTATATATATACTAATATATATATATATATATATATATATATATATATATATATATATATATATATATATATATATATATATATACTAGTCAGGTCATAAGTATTGTCACACAGTAAAAACTTTTCTTTTAGAATGCTGGCCACAAAAAAGTTTATTGAATTCGAATTTCGAATTGTTCATGAAAATAAAACTGTATACTTTTTAGAATTTTACTCATTTTTAAATATGGAGTGGACGCTTAAAGAAGACCGTGTTGCAGTTATTGCGTTGCATCGTTGCGGTTACGCGCCAATTCAAATTTTTGACATACTGAAAAATTAGAATATAACCAAAAGATTCGTTTATCGTACCATCAAACGATACAATGAAGACTAGTGTAGATGACAGGTCATGAAGTGGTCGCCCTCGGTCTGTTAGGACTCCAGCAGTGATAAAAGCTGTGAAGGCGCAAATTCAAAGAAATCCCAAACGTAAGCAGAAACTGTTGGCCCTTCAGATGGGGTTAAGCAGAACCACGGTGAAAAGGGTGTTAAATGAAGACTTAGGGATTCGGGCATATCGAAGAAAAACAGGACATCGTTTGAATGCTCGTGTAATGGACCTGAGATTGAAGAGATGCCGCGCTTTGTTCAAGCGGTACGCGGGAAAAAAATATCGGGAAATTCTTTTTTCGGATGAAAAAACTTTTACCGTAGAAGAGAGCTACAACAAACAAAATGATAAGGTGTACGCACACAGTAGTGAAGAAGCGAGCAACCGTATTCCGCGTGTCCAACGAGGTCATTTTCCATCCTCGGTCATGGAATGGTTGGGAGTTTCTTATTGGGGCTTAACAGAGGTACATTTTTGTGAGAAAGGTGTAAAAACGAATGCAGTTGTGTATCAAAATACAGTCCTGACGAACCTTGTGGAACCTGTTTCTCATATCATATTCAATAACAGGCACTGGGTATTCCAACAAGATTCGGCGCCAGCTCATAGAGCGAAGAGCACACAAGACTGGCTGGCGGCGCATGAAATCGACTTTATCCGGCACGAAGACTGGCCCTCCTCCAGTCCAGATTTGAATCCGTTAGATTACAAGATATGGCAACACTTGGAGGAAAAGGCGTGTTCAAAGCCTCATCCCAATTTGGAGTCACTCAAGACATCCTTGATTAAGGCAGCCGCCGATATTGACATGGACCTCGTTCGTGCTGCGATAGACGACTGGCCGCGCAGATTGAAGGCCTGTATTCAGAACCACGACACGGCAAGTCATTTTGAATAAACTTTAGTGTCATAAGAATCTATGTTTTGTTAAGTTCATTTTGGTATATAAATGGTTACATAATGAATAAACTTGTTTCAATTATTTTATATTAATCATGAGACAGAATTTATGACCTGACTAGGTATATATAATATTTTTTCATAAAAATCAATTTGGTTTCACAAGGGGTCGCTCGACAACTGATGCCGGTGTTGAGCTGATTAAATATATTTTTAATGCATGGGAGAATTCACAGGATGCTTTGGGTATATTTTGTGACCTATCCAAGGCCTTCGATTGTGTTCACCATGAAACATTAATCAGGAAACTTCAACACTACGGTGTAAGAAGTAATGCTGTTAAATTAATTATTTCATATATAAGTAATAGAACGCAAAAAGTTGTCATTAACAGTATGAGCTCTTCCGGGTCGACAGTACAAATGGGCGTGCCTCAAGGCTCAATTCTCGGCCCCTTTCTGTTTCTTGTATACATTAATGACTTACCTTACATAGTAGGGGATAACCATGATATAGTTTTATTTGCAGATGACACTTCTTTAATTTTCAAATTAAGTCGACAATTGCTAAAATACGACGAAGTAAATAATGCTATATCTAAATTAGTAAATTGGTTCAATGTTAATAATTTGCATTTAAATGGTACTAAAGCGAAATGTATGAAGTTCATGACTCCCAAATGTCAAACAATTAAATACTAATGTAATTTTAAATGGGGAGAAACTGAGTCTTGTAGATACCACTATATTTCTTGGAATCACACTAGACGCGAAGCTTCAATGGAGCCCCCATATATTAAAACTAGCAAGCAGACTTAGTTCTGCAGCATATGCTGTAAAAAGGCTTAGAAGTCTAACCAGTGTTGAAACAGCTAGACTAGTTTACTTTAGCTATTTCCATAGCATAATGTCGTATGGTAATTTGCTATGGGGACACGCAGCTGTCACTGAAATTATATTTGTTTTACAGAAGAGGGCCATAAGAGCAATTTATGATTTAAAGCCTAAAGAGTCGCTGCGACAAAAATTTAAGGTAATTAATATATTAACTTTGGCCTCTCAATACATTTATGAAAATGTAATGTACACAAAAATAAAAGTACCTAGTTTTACAAAAATAAGTGATATTCATTCTGTAAATACTAGTAACAGACACAAGCTAGTAGTACCAGTTACTCGACTCCATCGAATCAGTAATTCATTCTTGGGACGATGTATACGCTTTTACAACAAAATTCCAGAAAATATACAAAATTTGACATGCTCAAAGTTCAAAAACTTTATTAAACTAAGTTTGTATAAAAAGGATTATTATAATATTAAAGAATTTATGGATGATAATAACCCCTGGAAATTAGGTGATCGCTACCAAGCTATTTCTAATTTGTTGTGTTGTTAATTTGTATAACATACATGATTGTAAGCTGTTATTTTAAAAAAAAAGTCCCGCTGGGTTTCTTGCTGGTTCTTCCCAGCACAGAGGTATTTTCCGAACCAGTGGTAAATAAAATAATGACTTTCAATAAGTATTATGTAATAATCCATATTGTATAAAAATCATTCTATTCTATTCTATAGGTTATGAGTAATTTTTTTTTTGTAAAATCATAACCTCACTTTTTTAACACAGGAATATTGACCCAAAGTTACTTCTACAACGGCTTCAGCGCTGCGGGAAGTGCAGCCCCTTTGCCCTTGCGTAGCCAATCACAGGCACCCATGCTCACCTTCACAGCTTCGGCTTATTGGTCGCCGAACTACGGCGGGCGGGGGCTGCTCTCCCTCCGCGCCTACGGCTTTACAAAAACACTCTAGGAGTAAGGCAGACAAGACTACGTTGCGTCGGGGCGTGCTGGTTTAATTTTAGTACAGATTCGATCAGATCAGATATCTTATCGATAAGGTCAGGTTGCCTTCGCTCCCGCCACAACCTTCTAACCTATTACAACTGAAATTATTTCTGGGTGTTCAAGTATTTCTGGGCAGTTTTAAACAATTCAGAAATGAAACAGTACATTATAATCATTTCTTTATTGTCTGTAAACATAATTTGTTTTCATTAATTCCTCAAAAGGATCTCTTTTATTCCTTATAATTTCTCTTCTCCATAGATATTCATATATCAAGTCGGTAAAATTTTCTCTTTTATTATAGTTGTCTTTAGCGAAATATCGCTTGACAGAGAGTATAGACAGTAGAATAATGTGACACTAGTCTTACGTCCTTGTCGCACTTACACAAAATTCTGTATGCTATCCAGCTTTCACAGTAATTTTTACATGTTTTATGCATTTTAGGTTATAATAGTTTTTATTTATTTTTTCGATAACGGTGCATTACCTTTTAATGTGAGTTGTATTATTATAATCAGGGACCAAATCTCTACCAAATAAAACACCTTACTCCGCCAAATTCGTGCCAAACGATTCTAAATCCAACCCGTCACACCACCTAGTACTGACACTATGACGATGGCAAAGATAATTGGTTGCTTACCAGTGTGTATCTTAGTGACATACATACTGACTACATATATTCAGGGTCAAAATATTTTTTTAAATGTATTAATAAGAGTGCTTTTGAGATGAACTTTGAATTTAGACAAAGGCAAATCAGTAAATCACATACATTACACATGAAGCCCTCTTTATTTTGTGTCTACGGGCTACAGTAACCACTTGCCATAAGGTAAATTGTACCTTATTTTAATACGACGGCTGCACTAAAAGTATCGTGAATAGAATATTTCCACTGTTCCTGTCATATTAAATGTTTTTTAATTGAAAAGTCCTTGGTTTTAAAAATCGAATACCATTTATTTATTTAAAAAAAGATTCTCGGTCTTGTCACAAGGTTTTGTCAAACTTATTTAGTCGTTGAGAAAATGGAATTGACTCGAGAAAATTCAAGAGCGATGATTTATTATGACTTTCGAAGTGGTTTAACACAAAAACAGTGTGTTGACCGGATGATTTCTGCATTTGGTGATGAAGCCACATCCAAAACTACAATTTATCGCTAGTTTGCTGAATTTCAACGTGGACGTGTCAAGCTCAGTGATGATCCCCGTCAAGGTCGTCCAAAAACTGCAGTCACCCAAGAAAACGTTGATGCTGTGCGTAAGCTGATTGAGGAAGATCGACATGTGACATACCGCGAAATTCTGGCAACTTTAGACATTGGCATGAGTCAAACACAAATAATCTTGCATGAACAATTAGGTGTAAAAAAGTTGTTTTCCCGATGAATACCGCATTCGCTCTGTGAAGAGCAAAAAGCGGCTCGCGTTACTTGGTGCGTCAGAACTCTCGAAAGATTCCACGCAGGATCCTTAAATGCTGTATACAACATCGTATCAGGTGACGAATCCTGGATATACGCGTACGAACCCGAAACAAAACACCAGTCACGAGTTTGGGTGTTCGAAAATGAGTTAAAGCCAACAAAAATTGTTCGTTCACGGAGTGTGAAGAAAACATAGAATTATTAGACCATCCGCCGTACAGCCCCGACCTAAGCCCTAATGATTTCTATACTTTCCCTAAAATAAAGAATAAATAGCGTGGACAGAGATTTTCATCACCTGAAGAAGCTGTGGACGCCTACAAAACGGCCATTTTGGAGACCCCAACTTCCGAATGGAATGGTTGCTCCAATGATTGGTTCCATCGTATGGAAAAATGTGTCAAATTTCGCGGAGAATACTTCGAAAAGCAATAAATACATTTTTAAATAGTAATGTTGTGTCACTTCCTTGATTCCCGAAATTTTCAGTGCCGCCCTCGTAATATCAAAAAAGGGTATATCTTACCTGTTTCATGATTCTCATTTACTTCCAATTTGGAATTCTCATATTCGAAAATCTCTTCCTCAACTTTAACGGCATCAAGGCAAAAAATTTCGTCCTTGCAATCATTTTCTATATCACACTCTACAGGCCAGATATCTATATGATAAATTGGTGTGAATTTAATCTCATCTCTAACCTTATGCGGTTTTGGTATGGACTGAAAGGAAATAATTTTTCAAATAAGAGAAAAAGTCACTATAGTGGTAGAGTAGGAGAACCCATACTACCCCCTGCCATCCCGCAGATGTCGTAAAAAGGGGCAGAGGGAAACTGAAACTGGAGATCGGGGGGCAGCATCTTCCTGACAACAACTTCAAATAATAATAAACACATGACAAAAGTGAGGGTTCAGAGTAAACTTAAATAAGAATGTACATAGTTCATCTATCCCGAGAATCGAGTCTCAACAACTTTTGGATTCAGATTCACGAAAGCTGTAAATGGACAAAGATTTATCATTGTTTATTGAGATTTGTTTGTATACAATAGGGTAATATATAAGTGTAAAGTTGTTTCAGTTTGATAATTATTTTTGTAAAAATAAGTACTATTGCTCTAACAAAAAAGTAAGTTGGATTGAAGGACAAACTTAATTTTGCACTAGAAACATTCGCCCATATGGCAATGGGAAGCAGCATAGAAAAGTGGATAGTGCAGTGACAATGTAAGAATATCCACTATCCTATATACCTATCCACGGGATGGGTGCCTTAAGAGGCAACAGAAGGAAACAGAAACAGGGGTTGAGCAGCAGCATCTTCCTGATAATGACTCCCAACTAATATAAACTATGGTTGGCAACTTGCCAAGTGTGGCAAATTTGGCAAAATCCCTTCTATGAAACAATCTATGAGTGAGACCTATGTTCAGCAGTGGACTTTTATAGGTTTTAATGGATGGAATGGATAATACCATGGATCCTCCTGAAAGCAACTGCTCCAAAACCACATTTGAGTCTATAGCCTGTTGTTGTAATCTTCTGCAACGAATGAGTCTTGCATGACAGGTGAAACAGACAATTATGGGCCCCTCATTCTCATCCAACTGAAAATATAAAAAATCTTCACAAATATGGAATACTACTTATATATATAAATTTGTAATAAAATCTATTGGCTGCCACATTTTACTTTGTCAATATCATTTTTTATAATATTGAAGTGACAAATAAACTTTCCATCTACTTGATAATAAGTGACTAATGGGCACCAGGGGCACTTGCAACGAACTTCAAGCAATGGCTACACATGCAATGTTACCTCTGAGGACTAAGATGTAATGCATCACAGCCTGGCTCTCGATGTCTTTCAGATTGGGTGACATACTGCTGCTTGGAGCCAGAAAATGGTAAGAGGATGATATCTAGGCAGAAAAAAACTCCTACGGGTCCAAGCCACCTATATTCATCAATTACATTACCTACATTAAATTCAAACTGCTATCATCACTAAGAACATTACAAATACTTCTCTTATCACTCTCAGTAAACTGATAATGCTTGTGGTAGGAGGATATTGAAACAAAACACAGGGTGGTGGGTGGTACTACACATTCTGTAAAAGTGTAGTACCGTACACAGTACCGTACGGCTCTCTTTTGCAAAATAAATATAGCTACAATATCAGTCACATTACCCCATAGCAACATTCCATAAGACATTACACTTGTGTACAATTATTTGTGTAAACTAAATAAATACTATGCAAAACATAGGTGACAGTGATAAAAAGGTATAAATGAGCCTAATTACACGCAAATAAACAGTGTATGAGCCAAAACAATTTAGTGATCATAAAACTTTATTTCCATATAATATTAAAACCAGTACATTTCAAATCTATATAATATATACCCGCCATTTTCACATATAAAAAGATTGTACGAAAAACGCCATCTAGTGGAAAGTAGAGAAATTGCAAATTATAATATAAATAGCGATATCTAGTTTGGAACACAAGAACTAATAACAACGCATCATATCTGCTGTCTATACAACTTTTATCCACCACAAGAGGGTGCTGTCAATTATATAAAAAAATGAACAGTGAGAAAAATAAATCTTGAGAAAAATAATAAAACATCTTTCTTGTGTACTAAGTATGTAAAAATTATTATGACTTAAACTGCGCAAATGTTACGGAAAATATTTTTACAACATTATGCCAGCTGAAAGGAAACAAAATTGGAAATGTCAGGCGTGTCGTTACAAAATACCAAAAATTACGAATCCAAATACCCCTATAAAGACCTTACTTCAAAATAACCAAATTTAAATCAAGACTCAGTAAATATTTAAAACAAAACCCCTTCTACTCAGTAGAAGAGTATTTAAATATAAAATAACATTATTATATATTTTTATATTTTGTTCTAGCTTTTAATTATATTTATATATGTTAATAGTATATAAGCAGTGCCCTTGTCAAATTTGCAGTGCCTAAAAAGGGCGTCGTTGTAAGCACATTTTTAATTTAAGACCAATTATGTACACTTGGATTGCAAATAAATGATTTGATTTGATTTGTTATGGGATACTTCTAACCACTAAGTTCTGGTACTATTCTGCCGATCAGTAGTTTCAACACTAGAATAAAGAACAAAAAAGCATAAAAAACTACAAGTATCTTAATGCAATGGCAAGTCTGATACTGAATGAGGGCAACAGCATTCCGTAGTATAGTAACCTGTTTGGCTATGGAAGGTCCGTTAAAGTTTCAAAATCAGATGTCGACATTCGAGTAAAATCCACAAAAGATTTATCAGACATTCGAAGATCACTTAAAATATCAATTCCTCTTCCTTCTCATCCTGCATCCACCACTTTCTCTTTCGCTTACGCTTCACTCTCGAAATAAGCATTACGTACACAGCACTAATCGCCACAATCTGCTCGGGCGACATTTCTATAAGCACTGACTAGGTGACTAGTGTGACCTGCAAAAAGTTCCGCGACATATGTTTTGGGACATTCACACCACGTATTAGTTGAGAGACATGTTGCGCAACATGCCGCCCCTTGCGTACCCAAGTATATCCTACTAGGATTTACTTAAATGATAATTCTGATTTTAGTGCGACCCAGGATACCAGGCTAATTGTTGTGGTTCAGGTTCTGGTTGTATTTGTACTATATTCAACGCTATACCTTAGAACATATATCGGGCACCATAATGCGTTTCTCCAGTGATAACAACAAATTACCGCAACTTCATTTAACAATAAATAAATATTAAAAAACTTACAAAACTGTTCGTCAATGTTTTATACAAATTTTGGAGGCCAGTCTCCTTTAGTGCAAACATGCGTATATTAACGCTTAAACAAATTCTACAAGCTTCACCTTCACTAAAGGCCATTGTTGTTTTCTATAGCTTTATTAAAAATTAAAATTGATTATTGAATTCTCTTTTTCATCAACAAACCGGACCGGACTTTTCTCGTTAATTTTTTTTTTTGGAGTTCATGTTGTTGTTGTTGTTTTTATTTTTGGCTCGAGAGAGCAGGCAAAGGAACTAAGCCATACAGCCTTGTCTTTTTTATTTTGAATATATAGAATTTTAGAGTGTAAAGGCCAGAACCAAGTCTTATTTTTCTTCTTTCCATCTCTTCAAAATCCATAAAGGCCGTAGTCAAGTCTTACTTTCTTTAATTCTTCATATTTTCAAAAACCCGTAAAAGCTAAAGCCAAGTCTTCTTTATATTATACTCTTTGTAAGTTTCAATCCATGTAGATTTGTCAATCCAATATTTTCAAAAACAGGGATATAATATTTCATATTTCTTTTACAGTATTATGAATAAAATTGCAAAGTGCTAAATATGTCTTAGTATTCCTAAGAACATCTTGCAGGGAACGCGGGACGCTTTCTAAGTTTTCATAAACTTATATAATTTTTTCAATGAGTAGCAATCTTTCTATGGCGTACGCTGGACCGTTAAATATTTTATGTTCTGCAGTCTGATCTGCTTCTGTGTCGCAGAAATTGCATGTTGCAGATGCTACTATTCTCATCCTGGAAAGATGAGCTTTCAGTCGATAGTGGCCAAATCTAAGTCTGCACATTATTGTATAACATTTTCTGCTATGATATCTTCGCATATTGTTGCGAGAAAACCAAGGAATACTTAATTCTGAATTAATTGATGCATACCAACGACCTTTTCCTGCCTCTAAAACAGCATTCCATTGTATTTTCCATTCTTCTTTTAACTCTTGCTTTAAAATTGAATATAAATCTGTATGTGGTATTGCAACGTCGGTTATCCTGTCAATATCAGCTGTAACTATACTTTTAGCTAAATGGTCTGCTCTTTCATTTCCTTGAACCCCAATATATGACGGAGTCCATAAAAATTTTACTTCCAAATTATTTTCTTTCAATTTCCACCACAAACTTTTGATTTCATATATGATGAAAGTCGTTTTAGCATCTAAAGCTCTTGCCTTCAGTGCATTCAAGACACTCATGCTATCAGAGATCAGTGACCATTTATTAGATACATGTGGGTGTTCTTCTACATATTTAAGAGCGATTAAGACAGCATAACATTCTGCAGTGTATATGCTCGCTAATGCAGGAATGGAAAGGCCACGTCGAGTTTTCAGATGAGGTATGTAAAATGCACAGGCTACTTTATTTTCAACTTTTGAACCATCTGTGTAAATTTGTCGATATTCATCATATGTAGGTATAAGTTCATAAACCTCTTCTTTTCTTTTCAATTTTTCATCAATATATAAAAATTTCATCACTCAAAAGTCTCACGTTCCAGCAACCGCTTGATACAGACTAAGTGAGTTGGAGAGCGCGCGCTCAAACTCATGTTACAAACAATCGAGTTGAGGCGTCTCCTCTAGTACGTAGTACAGTATAACTCAATGGATAAAAGTTAAAATTTACAATAATGGTGTGCGGGGAGGGGGGGCTTAAAAATCTTAAATCAAACTTATAATCATTCTATTCTATTCAGTTTTGGCGGGAACTAGACTAGCGGACTAGGAGCTGCAGAGAGCTATTTTAGAATGTCTTGACAGATTTTACGAGGAACTAGACCATCGCTACAGAGCAATGGATGATATTGTCGTAACATTTAGTGTTGTTTAGACTTACATTCTGTTAACGTCACCAGATGAAGATCTTCGTGTAATAGTTCAAAATCTGACAAAAATCTACGCTGATTTTTCTGCAGGATATATAATTTTGGAGATTTTACGACTTGAAAGTTGTCAGCATTTCTTCCCAAGAAGCGGTTCAATGTAATTCATTGGAGCTTTTCTCGTAAAATTGGGCTATTCTGAATCTGTTCCAAGTCTAACACTGCGTCTAAGATTTTTTTTACTATTAAGTTTCATGTGAAGGTAGCTTTTCAAAATTCAAGTTAATAAAATCTAACTTAAGGTCCACAATGAGCCAAGCGGGACTAACCAATCTTTTCATTTTATCTATCAAAAATGACAAGAAAGTAAATTTTGATAATATATTAGAATATTTTAGCAAAATAAAGTCCCGTTAGCATGTATAGCATTTATTGTTTTATTTTTGGGGAGTGCTTTATTTTATTTATTAAGGAACAGCAAACAGCAACAAAATACAGTAATATCTAAAATACAATAACATAATATATTCACAATGATGTAGCCCACAACACAATTCCCACATTACTTACAATGTTAAATTAAATTGTCGTGTTTGATAGAAAACCGCCCTGGGTGCAAACCCACGCTACGCCTGCACTAGTTACCGTAAGGTTTGATATTGTAGCGAAGCAATCAAAATATTAAACGGGGTTTAATTATAACATTATGCAGCACTTTCCATATTGAAAAAAATACGCATTTCGTTTTCCGTAATGCTGTATATACTATTAATATCCTCAAAATATTGTATCATGGACACTCTTCTTCTTCTTCTACTTAGCGTTTATCCCGGTTGCTCGTCCCGCCCAGCGCGGGAGAACCCAGGGTCCGCTTTCCGACACTTCCTCCTCCACTTTGCCCGGTCTTCGGCGTCCCTCACATCTAGCCCATTGGCGCGCATGTCATCCTGCACGACATCAAGCCAGCGTTTCTTGGGCCGTCCTCTACTCCTGGCACCAGGTAAGGTCATGTCCAGGCATTTGTTTCCCACGTAGCTTGCTGGTCGTCGTAAGACGTGGCCGTACCAGCGGAGGCGACTTTCCTGCAGCTTGTCAGCAATGTCACGGACATGGAGGCTGCCGCGGATGTATGTATTCCGTACACGGTCTTTCCGTGTGACGCCACACATCCACCGCAGCATGTTCATCTCCGTGACATGCAACAACTGCCGGTGTCGCTCCAGCAACGGCCACGCCTCACTGCCGTACGTAAGGACAGGCCTTATGATGGTCTTATAGACCTGTCCCTTCAGCTTGACCGGCATTTTGGGGTCACAAATGACACCCGTCACCTCGCGCCATTTCGCCCAAGCCGCTGATATACGGGCCTTGATGTCGCGATCGATGTCACCGGACGCATCAAGCACAGATCCGAGGTACCTGAAGTTGTCCGTGCGCTCGACGGTGTCGTCGCCTATACGGAGAGACGTCAGATCTGTGCTGTTGCAGGCCATATACTCCGTCTTCGCCACGTTTAGCTTCAGCCCGCCGTTCTCAAGCGCCTCCCTCCATGCGTGCACGCGTCTGGTGAGCCGTCCTTTGTCCCTATCTACCAGTGCGATATCATCAGTGTACATAAGCAGCCAAGGCTGCGGTAGTTTCTGTACGCTGGCTGACAGTTCGTCTAATATCACACTGAAGAGATAGGGGCTTAAGACGGAGCCCTGATGCACGCCTATGGTTATGGGGAAGGGGGTGGTATCACCAACAGCGGTCCTGACTATTGAATCGGAGTTGCGGTACATGTCACGTACGATTTCCACGTAGGTCTCTGGTACCAACTTCGACCGCAACGCCCACCAGATCATCTCCCTAGGAACACAGTCAAAGGCCTTCTGCAGGTCTAGGAATAAAAAATGCAGAGGCATATTCTTTTCCCTGTGCTTCTCCATGAGGATCCTTAGGGCGAATATAGGGTCCATGGTACCGCGTCCTGGTTGGAAACCGTACTGGAAGTCCGACACTGTACACTCCTGTCGGATCCTGGCGTCAATAATGCGCTCGAAGAGCTTCATGGTGTGTGACATCACCTTTATACCGCGGTAATTACCGCAATCCTGAACGGACCCTTTACCCTTGTGGACCGGCGTTATTATACTAAGCCGCCACTGATCGGGCATTATTCGGTCGCTCAGGATTCTATTATAAAGGTTAGTAAGAATGCACACACCACGAGCCCCCAGCGCTTTCCACGCTTCAATTGGCACCTCGTCCGGTCCGACAGCTTTCCGATTCTCCATGTGACGAAGAGATGCGAGGACCTCGTCAGGTGTAATTGGTGGCACGAGTCCATGGTTCGGGAGTTGTTCGGGAGGGTGCACTTCCCGGTGCTGAGTATTCAGCAAAACGTGGAAATAAGAGCGCCATCTCTCCTTCACCGCACGATCATCGTACAGGAGCTCGCCATTAGAGCCGTTGACGCTGCAGCAGCGAGTAATATCTTGCGCTGCTTTGGCCCTAGAGCACGCCAGTTTATATATGAGCTTGTGCCCCTCAGGAGTGTCCAACTTAGCATATAATGGTTGCAAGTGGTCACGCCTGGCTCTGGCTACAGCTTTCTTGGCAGCTCTTTTCGCTTTCTTGTAAGATGCGCGATCTTCAGGAGATTTGGTCACTTGCCACGTCTTGAAGAGCGCTTTCTTTTCCCGTAATGAACCCTGGACTGTGGCATCCCACCACCAGGTCTCCTTGTCGATTTTGCGGCCCCCTTTCGCCACGCCGAGAACTTGCTTTGCCGTCTTTGTGATTGCTGTCTGAATGGTTTTCCAGCACTCTTGGACGGACTTGCCTGCTGTGTCGAGACTAATATCCCCAGCGGCAGAGTCAAACTCTGAGTATCTGGTTTGATCCAGCAGCCACCACTTGATTTGACGGCGGCAACGTTCGGCGTGTCTGCGACGGGGTTTTACGCAGAGGTCCATGACAAGAAGTCGGTGTTGGGCAGTGAGACACTCACCGGGTATGACCTTACAGTTGGCCACGCGACTGATCTGACTTCTCCTGGTCAGTAGATAGTCGATTTGAGTGGCGTTCCGACCGCTCCTGTAGGTAATCAGGTGCTCGGTTTTCTTTTTGAAGAACGTGTTCACCACGGCCAGGTCAGCTGCAGTGCAGGTTCTGAGAATGGTTTCCCCCTCTGCGTTTCTTCTGCCGTAACCATAGCCGCCGTGGAAACGTTCATACTCCCCCTGCACCTCGCCCACATGACCGTTCAGGTCGCCACCCAAAACGACATCGTGGTACAACGGTATGCCGCGTAGTACATCTCCGAGACGATCCCAAAACAGCGTTTTATCCGCGTCGCTGCAGCCGACCTGTGGGGCGTA